GAGCGCGTGCGAGCGGAGAGGCAGAGCTTGCGAGTGGCGTTGCCGAGAGAATGTTGATTGCGTTTTGTGAGAGTCGAGTCGTATTCTAATCATCTAGTTGTGCTGCTTTCTGTACGTTTGGCGAGAATAGTTCAGGTTGAACAACAATCGTCTTTTCTATCTTCCATTCCTTTGTAAACACACACATCATATATCACGATATTACATACATGTCGCTAAATCTGTAAGAGGTCATGTGAGAATAGCTTATTTGTGGCGCTGATTGAGGCTTGACAGTTAGCAGATGAATTAAGTCGGTATTGGTAAAGGGCGTGGTTGATACGCCAATTTCCTTGACTCATTCAACAAGACTCATGCAGCCTCGTCGGCAACTGAAGGACTGCGTGCGTGTGCTTCGCGAGGAAGCTTCCCGAAGGTGACACTTGTATTGTTGTAAGACTGAAGTTGCTGACAGATGTTTCGTTGGTGGTTCTTCGTCAATTTCCCAGAAGCGTGTGAGGTCCATCTATAGATCCGTCGTGGACGCGTGAAAGATATTTACCGTTGAATGGAAGACTGGGCTCCCCCGATGACCCATTCGAAACACGTTTTCTGCAGACGCAGATCGGGGTTTTTAGAATAATTAAATTTTATTTGACCGGCACACAGCGACGCGAGTGTGGATCCCGCGCTCAATACGACATCGATCAGGGCTGGTATATGGAATCTTGGATAGGCTCATTGGAGATTACTAGGTATTTGGATTGTCGATCGAACTATAGGTTTATCTAGGATCAATGTCGATATGGTTGGGATAATCAGGAACGTCAGTGTGCGTGGGTATGTGCCGTCCGTGGAGTTGATTGTGACCGTTGTGTAACGTCTAGCAGTCGTTGATAAGGTGTCGAGGACTCCAATGGGAACCGAACATTTCCTTTGCGTGAGCTCAAGTGAGTTTGCCAGTTTTTCGGTCACGAAATTCATGCTAAAACCAGCGTCGAGCAGTGCTCTACAGCGGACTGATTGTGTTTTGTCATTTAATATATTGATTTGGGCCGTGACCAATAGGCCGTTATATAGTGATTCTGATGCGAAGGTTGTTGGTGATTCGGTTCTTCTAGCAGTCGTCGATTTTCGCAGTCATTGTCTTCTTCGTCGTTGCAGACTGGATAAGGGTCTTAGGATTTTCCGAACACGTGGCGGTGTCGAAAGATTGCGGTGTCGAAAGATGGCGATGTCGGAGGAGGTGTCGAAGCATGTGTTGAAGAAGGTGTTGAAGAAGGTGTTGAAAAAGGTGTAGGCGATCGATTGAATGTTCGGCGGGTTGTGATCGGCCGATTCTTGACGTGAGCTTCGTCCCGATGCAGAAGCGCGTAGTGACGATTTCCGCACGAGCGACAGAATCCAGCAGGGCGATGAAAAACCAAGTGCCCTTTCCCTAGGCAATTGATGCACAAGGATGCTTTCTTGACGACTTTGACTTTCGTTGACTGATTTTGTCTTGAAGGTGTCGCAGGCTCACATTCCGTGTGATCCCTGGCAGAGTGGACATGTCGACGGAGAGTGTGCAGCGGTGAATGCGTGCCCCCATGGATCGCCTTGTCGTAAAGGATAATGTGGTTCTGGCGCTCGTCTTGTCGGAGTTGCCATGGATGTTGTTATGGTACAGGTACAGTACTTTATTCCCAGGAAGTCTAATAAGTGAGTGACGGAGGCATTTCTTTGTTGGGTATGGTGAGTTCCCGTTGTTGAACGGAGTCTTGGTTTAATTTGGAAAGGAAGAGTCCTATGATAATGGTGTTTGACGTGACAGGGTCACCTAAGTTTTTCAGTGCGCTGAGATGATGTTTGATAGTGTCGATTAAATTTGCTAAGGTTTCCGGTATCTTTTTGATCAATTTAGGATAGTTCTGCATTGCAAACAAGTGACGTAGACAAGTTTGTCGTGGATAATCGAATCTATCCTTGAGAGCGGCGATAACGTCTGTATAACTAGCTTCAGCGGTGTATAATGATCAAGCACATCTCGCTGCTTTACCAGTTACGGATTCCTGGAGATAATGTAGATCCTGTACAGGCGTTAGTTGGTCATTTCGATCTATGGTGAAAGAGAAGATTTTAATACGATAATAAGATCGAAGCAATTCTTAATTCCCGACCATTAACGCCGATCTCCACGGATCCTAATGATCTCCTTGTCCTCACTTCTATTTTTTGAATAAAGTATATATTATAACTTGTTACTTCAGTGTTATAATCTGTCAACCATCTCTAATATCCTAATCGAAATAGGAAATCGACCAATTCGTGGCGTCGATTGTCGAATCGTAACGAGAATTTACGACTCTCGTTGACGCGAACTACGGCGAACGCATCTCTCCAAGAATGGTCGAACAGACTGGGTCTTAACATGATTAGGCGAACTGCAGGAAAATCGGTAAGCTTTCAGACGTTCGCCAGATTCTATAATAGGCCTACATTGTCAGATAATTACGAGTTTGTTACAAGAGTGATATAGTCGTTTATAATTAAACAATTGTTATAAGGAGGTTAAGAGTATTTTAAGATAAAAGATTGTATCAAAGATTATAAAAAAGCGGTACTATAATAATAAAATTCTTGCATTTAAAATTGTACTTTTTCTCTGAATAACTACATAGGTAATCTCGAAAACAAGGCGAATGAAATCTAATTGGGCGATCACACAGACTTGCTTTGAATAAAGTTCAATCGAAATTATATGAAGAGCCTCGTGATTGTATTAGTAATTTCTTCGATCGAGGTTCTTCATATAATTGCGATCGTACTTCACTTACAGGTAAATTCGTTTGATCTTCCAATTATGCAGGTTATTTTGTAAAAGATGACGTAAAATTGAAAGAGTTTCTTACAAGCTAAAGTAGCACAGAACTAGAGAATAAAAAAGTTACATTTGAGATTGTGTTTAGTAGTTATTGATATTTAAAAGTCAACCAAAATATCTCTGACCTCTGGTAGTCATTACACAAAGCGAATATAAGGCAACCCAAATAACTAACTAAGCAACATTATAGGATGTGTGTAACTTAGTTAACCAAAATTATTTTTGTTATTCAATTCATTAAAAACATTCCTATCTATTTATATAATAAAGTTTATAAAATTATCATTACTGTGTGTTTTCTTCTTTTTGAACGATTTAATAATTTATATCAATCTGAAAACACACTTATTCAAACTTACCCTTCATTTTTCTCAGATATATCATTTGGATCCTCCCATGGAGGTACATATACGATACCCTCTTCTTTTAATTGATTTATGAAGTATTCAATTATCTCCTTGCCCTATAATGATTTTTATTAGTAACCTTTCATTTAAATAATAAAAGTTACCGAAAAAGGATTTAGTGAAAAGAGTATTACCTTTGCAATATTTTGAGCATATTGTTTCATCGCTAATTTTTCCATTGAGTTTTCAAAACCAAAGAAGTTTTTAATATCTAAACTTGCAGTTTGTTCAAAACACGTCCATTCTGGATTTTCAGGATGAACCTGTAAATATACCATGTTCATTAGTTTTGATGTGGCAAACTGATAACATACAGATAGAATCTTCTTATTATATGCCGTTTCCAGCGATATGTCCAATAATTAAAAGGTGTAAAATAATAGGATCGTCAACGGATATCCGATTCTCTAATCACCGACCGGACTGCCGAACCGGGGTGCCGAATCGAGACCATTAACAGCGGTAAACACATGTTTCAGAACACACAGAGTCTACACGAGGCTTCGAAAACGAACAATACTTCGAATCCTTGGTCAGGGAGCGCATGAGCGCATGCAGAATCGCCTGAACTGAACCGTGACGATGGCCGTAAGTGTTGTTGTCAGTGTCTAGTACCGCCAGCGACGCACTCTGTGCTGAACGCGCGAGGCAGTTGTGTGTCGTTGCCGGGTCGACGTTAGTGAACGCTTGGGCCCTTCTCCCGCAAGGGCAGAGAAATGCAATCACGAATGATGCGTTCTACGATGCTGCGATGTTGTGTCACATGCAACGTGTTAAATGCAGAGCAACGATATAGCGCGTGCTGAGCTCCGTACATCGGGCATCGCTCGGCTTGGCCCACCGAAGCAGGCGCGCGTGTATGACGTACAAGGCCTGGGTTCGAAATTGGGTGTGATAGGTCACGTTAGTTATGGTGTAAACGGCTTCCAAAACTCGAATGCTGGCCTCGAGGGACGCTTCGAGTTCGGAGCAGGTGGGAGGTCTAAGAAGAATTTCTATTCCTTGAGAATCTTCTTGTCCAATCTCTGCGTGATGACGAAGATAAGAAGATTCTTTCATTATTTGGTCTGTCAGACCTGATTCGCAAGCATCGCAATAAAACGGTTTATTATATCACGAAGTCGAGAGAGTTCACCAGTTAGCTCTTCGACAGGGTGGGGGGTAACGTCATGAAATCAGACAAGAGCTTCTGCACGATGACATGCTTGTATCATAATGTTTTTACAACGTTCCCCCATTTTGAAATTGACCTACTCGTTTCCTCTCATAAGGGTCTGAAAAACATCACCAAAACCGGGCCAATCGGCGTACTTTTCTAAGAAGGGTGGAATGGCGATGCGCGACAACTGGTCCCGGTCACCCGTGTCCTGCGTTGGAGGCGTCTTAGTAGATGTAATCACGCCACTGAGGTAATCTTGTGTTGCCCAATACGTGTCCTCGATCGACAGAAACTCCTCCTTAGCGAAATAGAGGTAATTTCACTCCCAAGATTTTCTCAGGCTCTCCAGCCGAGCCTTGCCCAAACCAGGTTAGGCTAGCTCACTTTCTTGCAATTCTCTATACAGCATCTTACGAGCCATAAGCCAGATCTTTTGGATGAGCTTGTCCATGATGTCTGATTCTTCGTCGCTCTTGCCGATCCAGCTCGAAGGACTCCAAAATGTTCGATAGCGCGATAATAGTTTTGACGCTGAGAATGTAAGTTAGGAACGAGAATGGCGGGATGTGTGTGGCCTCAATGAGGCGTAGATCTTCTTCTTCTTCTAATCCGCCAGGCGGCTTCGTTTTATTGCAATGACCATTAGCACAAACAAGGTTTTCAAATTTTATAGTGAAACAAATAGCACAATGGGTTCACGACTTGTAAGAGCGAGGACGTAGGCAAATACGCAATTCGAATTTATCGCAAGCGATGAAAGCAGCGGATGTCGCCAGGACGAATGTACATCTTGCACGTCCGAATGTTAATAAATATGTAACCATAGCCGTTGGCACTTACAAAATTCGAGAGAGATCCCAGGGCTTATCGGTACGCGTTTAAAATTGCGAAGACTAGTTACAATATTTGGTTCGATATTTACTAAAACTCTGAATCTGATGCGTGACTTCATTTATGAAATTCATGAAATCAAAGAATAATAAATACAATGGGAAGTATAATAATACAAATGCCAACTTTCATCGGTCATAGAGAGAAGATATTATATACAATTGATTAGATTTTTACATTATAACATACAATATACAGATTCTTTTTATTCCAAGAGTCTAAATGAAATAATAATTCTAAATGCTCTAATACATCCCCACTAAGTTTTTACGTTTACCTTATTTTCTGTAAATGTCTTAATATTGTAGTATCGTAAATATAATAATTAGTTTATTAATAATAAATGGATTAAACAGAAAATAATGGTTGTTTAACATGAACTAATCGTAACATAATTAATTAACAACTCTTGTCAACATAGATTCAACTCTCTCTCAACAACGCTAACAACACTATCTCGACAACACAATTCGCACTCTCTGGCTTCTCAACTCATACTGCTGTTAATTCGTTTATGTCCCTTAGCAACCCTTTGTCTTTTGTCTTAGCCTCATATCTTTTGTTTAAGCCCCATCATGCACATGCTCAACAACAGCTTGTTTATAATTCGCACGACACCCCCCCGCCCCAGGCCCCTCGTCCACGATACTACAATATTATACTAATGTATGAACGAAGGTAAACACATAGACGTGTCTTGTCATAAATGGAACTGATTTAAACATGTCAGGTTTAGTGCGACTATTAAAGGCTCCCATCGTACAACAGTAAAGTATTTCTTAATCGATTCCACTCTCAATTCAGTATATAGATTTCAAGTTGATTTTCATTCATCCATAGTATACGGTAGAACAGAAGGAGTAATATTTTTTTTTTAATTTAAATAACATGACTCGTTTTAATGATTCATATTACATAACAAGTAATATGAAGACAAGAAACTTTTTTATTGAAATATCACTCTGAAATAATTTTTAAAATATTTAGAAATTATTTTTCCAAAAATCAAAGGTTTACAGAAGGTTAACAATAAAGTAGAATAAGGTCGAAATATCATAATGACACATATAGTATTATAATGCTGGTGTACAAAAGGGTTTATAAAAAGTAAGTATAAAAAAACACCATAGCGTGATTCTACACCTCTGGGACAGTGGAGATTTGTAAAAATGGTTCGTTAAAAATTGACCTTGAGCATCAATTACAAGATTAAAAATTTGTTATTGCAACGTATTCTATTCATCGCCAGGAATAAAAGTCTCGAAGCAACCATGAATAGCAAATGATCGCTTTAGGCAGAAAAAATATAATCACATTCATAAATAATACACTTAATAGTAAAATATACACTAAAATCGTAATACTCGACTCATTTAAAATCTAAATCATTGGAAGGAAGTTTATTTTCAAACAGAATGTTTTAATTAGTTTAATAAAAGTTTAACCAATTAGCTTTTAATTAAATAAATATGAAAGGGAAATGGAAAGAAGTTTAGTTAAAGTTAAACATTTATCTATTCTGTTACTATTTCACTAATTTCATAATAATTCTCTTCTTTGATAGATACATAATTAAATACGTGTGCTAAATATACCGGTACGGCAAAGCAGTACCGTTAATATAATAATTAGGATTAGGTATTTTGTGAATTATTAAATAGAAAATTGTTCTTAAATTTTACAGATTTTCTATTTTAAACTAAAACACAAGCAATTCACTAAATATATTCCTAGCTACATATATTGAACTGTTGTTAAAGATAAATTATTAAAGAAATTCTTTTTGTAACTTTTATACAAATCATTTATTTATGAAATATTTGTTGTAGAACTTACTCTGTTTAACCAAATTAAGTTCTTTAATTACATCATATATCATTTTTTCATAAATTATAAATACGACATATTATATACAAAAATAAAATATGTTAGAAATAGCAATAAAAATGTCAAATAATGATTAAATTATGCTAAATACTTACAAAATATCTGCACTTTTCGATAACCGATACTCTAGATGAAAAACTTTCATTATACGCTTCTATTTCTAGAACGCTATTTCGTCTATTTAAAACATTCCTTTGAATAAAGTATACAAAATCTACTCCAATGATCTGAAACAAATGACAAGAGTAAAAATTTCTAGGGAAGAACGAAAACATATCGATTAAATTTCTTATAAATGTAATGTTTGGTGTTTTATATGTACATTATTAAAAAATGTATCTTACTCTTACTCTTATGAATAAAAAGCATATAAGTTTTACATATTTGAAGTGATAATCAATTGTTATGTAGATTGCTCGACGAAATAGTACTACTATTATATTTTAGATTATTTTACATTTCTTGAAACATCTCATTGCGATTAAGGAGGTGACCCAACTATAAAATGATCAGATATCTTTTCTGCGATCAAATAACATTTTTCTAAAGCACATTTTTATTCATATAAATTAACAAATTATTTAAATAATCTATGTATGCGCATATACTTAATATTTTTTTTAAGTTTAACCTATAAACTACGCAAATAACATCCTTAACAATCTTGCCTTGGCTTCCATCGCGATAGGATATATTTGACAATATCACGTATCTCCAGTATGTGCCATCCTGAAGCAAGTGATAGTGGCAGCGAAAGAAATGGTGCTAATATTAGTGATACTAGGGTAGTGGTAGTAATGTCAATACCACTACACCAACTGACTCTTGGCTCCTATATACGTATACCATACATATTATCATGCTAGAAACAGAGAACCAATACATACGTGATATCTATGAGTACAGGAATCTCACCTAGTCGATCACTGAGCAAAGAACCCAAATCATGAACCGAAACTGAACCGAAAACCTCCTACGTGAATGTCATAAAATATGAATACGCACCAACTAAGGATCAAGCCATAATCAAAGAATATGCTTGAGCCATCGGAAATATAATAGGACCTAAATCAATAAAATATTTATTGAATTTCGAACAAAAGAGTTTGCATGTACTTGTACAAAAAATTGACCCTTATAAACCAAACATCGAAATACAGGGTGGTTGGTAACTGGAGGTACAAACGGAAAGGAGGTGATTCTACGCGAAAAAAGAAGCCGAAAATATAGAATAACAATTTTTTGTTTGAGGCTTTGTTTTGGAGAAAATCAACTTTGAATTTTCGCTCGGTACGCGTGCGGTACGTTATAACGGATCTCACTGTAGATCGTTGTCTCGATGGAAAAATTAAAAAAAAAAAAGAAAAAGATTTTTATTCTGTATTTTCGACTTCTTTTTTCGCGTAGAATCGCCCCCTTTTCGCTTGTACCACCAGTTATCAACCACCCTGTATAGGTCTACAACAACGAATAATAAGAACATAGACATTGGTCCCACATCGGATCACACTTTTGAACATTGTACCAATAATCTCCAACTGTACAATCCAGGATATTTAAAAAACACAACATAAAATTTTGGTTGAAGACAACATATTTAAAAGTAGGAATCTCTGATCCCGAATTTTCACATATACTTAGCTTGAGACAAGTTTATGTATACCCAGAGGATGCTAAAATCATACGAAGGTCGTTCACTGAAAACAAAATTTTCAGGGTAGCAGAACGGTTTCATGTGCAAATAGAAGAGATACATTGCTAAACGATGCCCAAAATAACAACAACACAAACGAGAATAGTAGCTCTAGATAGTTTTCAGACTACCACAAGTCCAAATCTCCTCCAAATTTCTTAGAACATTAAAAGACATCAAACCGACAAAACAGAAGAACCAAGTATAAATAAAATCGGGATTAAAAGAGCGCTATTGATATCGTGAGAAGATTCTCACTTCCGGTGGATACAATTAAGCGACTTAATCTTTAAACTTTCAGAATCAATAAGAAAGAGGAAAAAGACACCGAAACAATCCATAAAAAACAAGAACGCTCCATATCATCTATTCCATCTATGGGAAGAATAGAAAAATTACTTGACCCAGCCTATATCATCCGATATAGAAAAACTACAGAAAAACAACTACATGCTATATTAAACATATACAAATATTTACATACATACCTTTTTTAAAATATACGGTGCTTCAACATTTAATTTACAGCGTCGTTCTGTTATTCTAATTGAGCCATTTTTACTTTCTTCGTCTGAAACTATCTCGCAACCGACAAAAACAGGAATTTTTGGACAAGTAGGAAATCTGCGTTCATATGCCTACAAACAAAATTAACATTTGTGAGAACTTATATAACAGTTATACGTTGACATTAATAGTTCATGCAAAATCCATAAAATATAAAACACAAAATTAAATAGTAAAACAGGGGCACATATTAGTAAATTGATCAAGTTTTTGGTAAAAATAGCAAATAATCCTAAACACTATCTAATTCGTTCTTTCTCCAAGTAAATAGCAATGCACTTCATTGCTACAATATTTTCATATGATAGTTAAATCTCCTAGAACTCAAACTGGTCAACTTCAGTTTTTATACACTTTCTGATATTTTTCCTAGGCATATGATTAGCACAAACTACTAAAAAAAGAAATTGGGCCATAAAGTTAATTACGAAGTGGAATAGCTAACCGTACAGTTTAAGGTAAATTTTAGTAAATAATACAATAAATGTCTTGATAATTGCCGGAAAGCCGAGACACACGATCGCCAATTATTTTGATTTTAACAATAAATACTGGTACGACCCGTTGTTTTGCCAAACGTAATGAAGAACAGCGCGAGTGAAAAAGAAAGAGATTGACGAAAAGAAACATATCGGTTAGTTAAACAATGTTAATGCAACAATGAAATGTTGATTTTTTATTTTTGTTGAATAGAACTTTCATCGGTGTAATTCTGAAGTTTTTCTGATTAAAATAAGGCCAAACACGATATATTTATTTATTGCTTATTTAATAAAATTAACTTTTTTTTTGCTTGTTAAGTATGTATGTGATTTAAGATGTATCGTATTTCATCTTACTATAATTAGAAAAGTATCACAAATACATTAGGAAAAGTTTAATTTAAAAAAAGTTAAAGATAAAAAATTTTCATTATTGAATTAGTATTGTCTCATTAACATTTGAATTCGGATCAAATTATACTACTTAGCCGTTGAGCTTTGTAATATGTCAAAGGGAACACCAAGACTCCTTGAGCGGAATTCCCCGCAATATTGGGGATGAAGACGTTGAAATTAGAAGGAACATCGTGTCCGGCAAGTATCGAGGTATTACTGTATTTCTAATATTACTATGTCACTCCTTCTCTAATTTAAAATTGATCAAGGCTGGTTCCAAACAGTACTGGTTATGAGTTTAACGAGTCATAACAGAATAATTAACGGTAATTATATAGAAAGGGAGCTTCAATTCCGATTTTGTTGAATCTCGGATATGTTGTAGAGGAGAGGATTCTGAGTCCTGAATAACATACACTTTGTCCAAGACATGGGACGTTCATGGTTCAAAAGTTGTGACAAAAAGAAAATGGTACTTTTTACATTACATTTACTTCAATAGAATTGCTATCCTAATAGCGGTATGATTAGTTTAGGTTAAGTTATATATGGGGGCCGAGCGTCCAGATTCTCCAAAAAATCTAACCTAATCTAACTTTTGAATTACGATGATCCCACGCCTCGGACGAAGTACGTGTTACTCAGGACTCAGGGTCCTCCCCTCTGTAACATATCCGAAATCCAATAAAACTAGAATTGGGGCTCCATTTTTTTTAAATAATTACCTAATTAACTTGTGAATGCAGAAAGTATTTCACACCACTATTCTTACAAGGCAAAATTTCATTTCTAAATTCAAGATTATGTATCGCTTTAGAAACGAACAATAAATATGTTTATCCTCACTGTTTTACATTTTTTAAAAATAATCTTCGTTTATGTTTACAAAATTTCCAAATTGGATTTTTAAAAATTTTAACTATTTTTTTGACATCTTAGTACATAAAAATACTTCAGTTTCAATATTTATCTTTTATGTCCGTAATCTCTCTTTATATAGACATTCCATCCTGTATCTTTGCACACAGCATATGAGAGAATATGATAATTATAAGTTTGATATAACACTATTATCAGTGTCAATAATTTGAAGTACAAAATACCGTTCACCAGAAGCTCATTTACGAAGGTAATTGTATAACAATTTTCAAATTTTTCATGCATTGTTTGTGACAGTTTCATATTCTGATTTGCTTACTGAGATATGTCCACTGTTCGTTGATGCCTAACTTAGCTGTCGCAGCCTCAGGAGCTTGCAAGCTCGCACCACGACAGTTAACGAGGGAGGTATCAGGTACGTCAGGAATTGTCTGCTCTTACTTGCCGCTTGCTTTCTTGGATCTGAATTGATGATGAGAGTGAGAATCAATGAGAGTAAATGAGATATAGTGAAATGCAATTTAAATGGTATTCTACTTTTTGTTACTGTCTTTGAAGGATTAATTAGCTCTAAATTAAACACCTGAAACTGTATGTGTGAAGTACCAAAACAAGGAATATTGCAAAATTATTAGAAATATCCTTACTTTTTTTATGATGTGTACCCGTAAACGTATTATTCTTGAAAATAACAGATGCACTCTATAGCATTCGTTTAAAAATTAAACTGAAAATGAAGTAAATACAAGAATGCATGTGCATACATAAATGTGAATATTTAAACTGAAGAAATTCTAAAATATGCAAGATATGTAAATGACATTTCTCTTTTTTTGACGAATTTTTAATATTCGAATTTTGGTTAATTACGAGTTACACATATAAAATGTCTCGCCAATATGATATTAATGCACTGTATCGATTCGATTTTCAGAATTAAATAAAAAATTTTAAACTGCTGATAGAAATAATATAATAGATTAATAGAATTCGCTTAAAAATACAAAAGGAAAAAATTTTCATAAACACCAAATACAAGTCAATAGTACTTATATGTATTTGAGATATTTAATTTTGTAATATTTATAAATATTTTAAGAAGTTTAAACTTATTACTTATTACTCAACTGTTTCGCATTCAATATCTCACGTCCTTAAGATTTACAAGATCATTTTATTTCTATATCACACTCTATTAATTAGTAATGTCATGTACATATTTATAATATAAACATATATAGTATATATGTACACAGGGTCAGTAAAAACTATCGTTCGAAATAACTTGTGTTATCTACTGATTTTATCAAAAAATGTTTGAAGTGAAATTTATTGTATTTAAGAATTTTGATCAGATGAATACATTGTGTTTCGTTGATGCCTTATAGTATCTAAGAAATCAAGATGATCTTGAGTTTTTTAACAGTTATCTTATATATTTTTTACATTTCGTTGCAGCCGCTAAGAGGACGTATTCAACTACCTACAATAAGGTGACCTTCAGTTGACCTTGAACCTCAGAACGAAACGAAAATTTGTGAAGAATAACTTACTTTCAATGAATCCGTTTAAAGTAGATGTCGTCGAAAAATTATGTCCGATACACTGCGAGCCGTTCGTGTCTCGTACCGACGAGACGCCGTGTCGCGTCATGTGAAAAAATGTCAAGATATGGGCTGCAGTGATTGAATGTGTACTCGTCGTTATTAATCACATGTAATTGAGAGCCATTTTTTAATCGCATTACTATCAACATTGAAAAGTAAGTTCTTTACGATAATCGAAAGAGATCTTCGCAGTGATTCGATAAAGATCAGTTGACTGTTCATGCTTCGAAACCTTGTCACTTTATCCTCGGAAGATATTGTTAACAATTAGTGGAATATAACTGGAGTACTTCACGACTCATTTTAAAAGAGACTATCACAGCTGAAATATACTACCAGTATATCGAAGAAATGCACGAAAAATTGAAAATTCTACGTCCAGCACTCATTAAGTAGAGATGTGCGGGTACCCGATGTTCGAAACAGGTCGAGCAGAGATCGGGTCGGTTCCCGAAAGTATTTCGAGACTCGAAAATATTGGAATTCCCGACAATTTCGAAAACAACGTTTTCAAACAATGTTTTGCAACTAGCTTTGTTATAGAATGGGCAAGTACTATATAGCTAGTCGTTAGAAATATCGTCCGGGTTCTCGAGACTGTCTCGAGTCTCACGATACTTTCGGGGCCGGATCCAATCCCGAAAAAATTTCTCGACCTGATCCGACCCGATATTTTCGGGTTCTTGCACACCTCTGTTGGTAATACTACTATTCAATTATTATATTCCATGATGGCAACTAATAGTCAAATATATTTACTAACCAACAATTCTCAAATATGATATACTAAACCTGTTATAATATTTGACAAGATGGTGTTGAATTGCACAACGATATATATAATACTAATTATAAATTATCACAAACATTTTGGATATATCAAAACTGAAGGTTACATATTCTTATTAGGAAAATAATATCTATAATGTAGCTAAATACATTCAATTATATTGAAATACATCCATGATATGTATATTTAAATATATGCACTATTGATAAAGGTTATTGTATCAATATAACTATAATATAATAATATAATACAATATTGAAATATATCCATAGTATGTATATTTAAATATATAGAGGTTACTGTACCAGATAACTATAATATATAATATAATATAACTATAATAGTATAATATAATAATATATTGTATCAATATAAGAATTAGATGTTTCAGTAGTTAGAAAGAAGGGAAAATATTATTTATATCACAAAACAGACAATAAAGGCAAACTAAAATGGGTGAAAAATATATAAAATACATTTATGTTATAACGACATTAATAATAATGTTATCACATGTGTAAACCGTGCTATAAATAAATAAATAATTTGAATAGAATATACATCGTTTCTATAATGAAAGGCATTATAATAGACGCACATAAATTCTTCCATGCAGCCTAATATACTATAAAATTAAAAATATGAGTTCGGTTTTAACCTAGGATGATGATGAATATAGAGCACTATATACTACATATGTGTGTATGCTATTAAATGCAATGTATTATAAATGTGCATTACAAATTATTTTAATTTAATTATTTGTAACATTTTTATAAATGTGCATTACAAAATATTTGTAATTTAAAAATTACATTAAAAGAGAATTACCTATTCTTCGAAATAAATTTAATTTACTAGTTAATAGGCATTTGTAAAAATCTTTATATCAACACTATTAAACATATATAAATGAAATAAAATCAATTATTTTGTTCATGCTCGTCTGAAATTCTTTTTTATTAAAACAATGTAATTATTTCAAAATAAGTTGTATTTTAACATGCATTTTTAGCATAATGTAAATAGTAAATAATTTATAATAGAAATACTATATGGCATGAATGAATCAATTAAATCTTTAATATCTTCAAGGTATTAATTATTAGGTAGTCCCAAAAGTTTCTTTTGTTTTACAAGGAAATACAAGGAAATAATAGATGCACAACATTTTTTGTTTATATTATTTTACTGAATTAAGTATGATCCAGTTTGTTCTATTGGGACAACCTTGAGTTTTTGGGATAACCTAATACTATATACAGCTATATTAATATGATCTTATTCATTAAAATAAAATGATATGTACATTTTGTTGCCAAAAATTGAATTGATTGTTATATAGATAGAGTTACTTAAAAACTGCATTTTCTAAAGCACCAAAATATATATTTAACTTACGCTATGTTATGTTCAATAATCATTTCTGTTTGTTTACGTATTAATAAAAGTTTGCATTATGGCTTTAAACAAACCAGAGACTAACATTTCAACATGAAAATTAATGATAAAATTATACTTTCAGCGCAAATCTGTAAGACATAATAAATAAAGCTTACACTACTATACGAGAGATAAGAAATACATATATTATATTTATAGATACAATTAGACATTGTACAATAAGACTCAACAAGGAAAGAAAAATGTTATAACTAAAATGAATGGAGAATATATAATCAGGTAAATTAAAATTACTTCTAAAATGAAAAACATTAACAATTGATATGCTATTGAAAAGTAAGGAAATTATTTCAATGGAAACTGTTTTGGATACCACAAAATGACGCTTATAGTAATGGGACAGCATAAAAGGAACCATACATTTCTATAACAAATAGAACAAACTGTTGGGGATTGCAAAAAGATTTGTAACCAAAATTTATAGAATAATGTAATATTTCTCAATAATGTTAAAATTAATATATTCAATTTACACAAGATCAAATAATTATTTAAAAAATATACAGGTCTCACAATCACACGCACAAAGAATTTTATAGCATTATGAGGCTATGTAGTAGCAAATAATATTTTTATATCTTGATTATTTCAGTGAATAAAATTATATTAATATAATTCTTATGCTTTTATTGAATGATTAATTACTAACATATGCCTACAACCAATTTTATTTACAAAAAGATCTCTTTATTTGTCATGTTATTTAAACTATACAGATTTCTGTATTGTGTATATGTTCAGTTTTGTAAGTAACTATATACAGCGGTAATATAACATTTTAATCCACATAAACTATAAATTATTAACAAACTTCATACGACATAACGCATTCATGTTTTCTAATTCCAAATTTTGAAATTATGTATAGTTCATTTTATTAATTTGCATATGTACACACGTAATATAATCCTTACTACACATAATATGTACATAATATACACATCATATACATAATATAGCATGAACTAAATGTAATTCAGTAGGTTAAAAAGTAATATAGGTTGCTATAAATAATGATAATGAAATAAAAAAATATACAACAAACGCACCATCATTACGAGCGGAAAAGGATGCTTATACACCCGAACAGGTGATTGATATTGTTGAACCATGTCACAATGTCTTCTTACAAACTGGCTGTTAATTCAGACTGCAATACAAATAGAAATGAATAAAACTATAATAATTGAACTGAGTGTAATTAAATAGAACAAATTAGGTCCACTAATAACTAACCGAAGAAAAAGCAAATTATACAGGTTACAATGTTACAATAAACCGATTCTTAACCTTCTTTTATTTTATTCAATATTTATGTCACTGCACTTTATATAATTTAGAAATAACTTTGGCACGAAGTATTTTAAGTTGTACAAGTTATAAGGAAAGATTTGACGATTAGTGTTTACATCATATAATACAGAAAATAGAAACAAAAAAAACACAAATTGCACAGAAATTATAATGAACTTTGACAAATGGCGCAAATCCAACTTGCCATTGTGTGTAACCAACTGTAACTATTCCAACGTAACTACAAACCAACACAAGAAGTATGACACAGGTCCCTATATTGGAACCAATCAGACCGAAATAAGCAAAGGACGATTAAAATAGATAAATTTTAAATATTCGAATAATTTGAATTGTTCAATGTAAAAATCTTTTAAATAAGGCTCTCATATTAATTGTAACTGTATTAAAAAATGTATATATTTGTTACAATTGAATAAGTAAACTATTTTTACGTAATTATAGATACTATATTATACATAACAATGTATAGAAATTTCGATATGATTTGAATACAATCTTAAGATGTATTGACTTATATCTAAAATATCAGTGTGTATATGTAAATGAATATACATGAACTATCTTAAATTTAAATAATAATTTTCATATCTTTCACATAAACCAATTTGTAGTAAGAAATTGATATGTTCAGATTCCTGTTATACGATATTAATCGATATTTATTTAAAAAACAGTATATTTATTCATTGTGGATATCATCTTGTATTATCTGCAGATAAATAGTATTCTCTTTAGATAAAAGAAATTTATCGATCGTTTGAGGCGCTAAAGACAAGCATAACATTAATATAGGAGATCATAAATCTAATGCTTTGAAAAAATAAATATTATTGATTAGTAATTGTGTAGAGGATAGTAAATTAATTTTTTGAGTTCCATGAAAGATGGGAGTAGGTAAAAGTCAATTTTCTGAAGAAGAGTTACAAGATTACCAGGTATTTGGTTCTTCTTAATAACTCAATATCCATAAATTTTGTTTAATTATTTAATCTTATCTTATATTATAGGATTTGACATATTTTACGAAAAAAGAAGTTCTGCAGTAAGTATACTTAAATAATTTAAATAATATCTATTTAATAGCTTCTTGTAATAGTTAGGAATATACAATGATTATTCTAACACATTGGTTTATTTAATATGAGAAAAAGGAAGATGCATAGCTATTTATATTCTTTTTTTTACAATAATAATATAGATATTACTTTAGATTTTTAATCTTTCGATGTAATGTATTTGAATGTATTTATGAAAAATGGAAAACAGATTTACTTTTATATTTTACATATATGTTTCAAAATGAAGAATAGATCTCTTTTAATGTGGTATTTTATATGTATTTCAAATACAAATATTTTATGTTATTCTGATTATTTTGTAAAAATATTTTACCCTCAGGCATACAACATTTGTATTTATTATATCTAAGAACCATTAATGTTCAATATTTTATTAATTGTATCATAGACACGTACATACAGAACATGCAATAAAATATCAATAATTTTATGATTGTGGTTATTCCTATATAGTTATTATGATCATAGAATTAAGAACAGTTCTTATACTATTATGTATTATTATGTATTATTAGCAACTTTTCATATTTCTGTATTTAAACTAACAGTCTATATATTGAAAGTCACTAATTCATGTGTGAAATTTTGATTTTGTATGACAGTGCACATCAAAAGTTTAAAGCACTTGCTCCAGAGAAGGTTGGTCATAATAGAAATGCAAAACTTCCAATGTCTAAAATCTTACAATATCCTGAATTAAGAGCAAATCCTTTCGGAGACCGGATTTGTAAAGTTTTTAGTTCTAGTCAAGATGGAGATTGTACGTTCGAAGATTTTTTAGACATGATGTCTGTTTTTAGTGACGCAGCTCCAAAAGCTGTAAAAGCAGAACATGCTTTCAGAATATTTGGTAATATTTAAATCTTATTTGTCAGTTTCTTTATAAATTTAATCTATTGATTGAATTATATTGTATACAGATTTTGATGGAGATGATATGCTTGGTATTGGAGATTTAAGACAAGTTGTAGATAGACTTACTGCTCCACAAAGATTAAACGAGACAGATATGCAACAGGTTCTCCAATATATACTTGATGAAGCAGATTTGGATGATGATGGTGCACTTAGCTTTGCTGAATTTGAACATATTATAGAAAAAAGTAGCGACTTTTCAAAGTAAGACATATAAATTTTATTGTCATTTTTATTTTGTTATGATACTGACATTAAATTTATTTTAACATATTCATTACTTTCAGAAGCTTTTGCATACGTTTATGAGACATAAAATATTGATGAGAAAAATAGTAGAAAGGCAACATAAGACTGAATATTATATTAATATCGAGACACTTCAATATAGTCAATAGGCCTAATAATTTTTACCATAAAAAAAGTAATTCTGAGAATTTAAAAAGTGCGTTAATGTTTCCTGAAGGCCTACTACGTACTAAAATTAGCTTCCTTCTTCCAACATTACGTTATATAATATTTTACTATCATAAATTAGTGGTACATGTTATTTAATTAATATTTTTATTACTAATTTTAAAGAAATATTAATATATAATAATTTCATACTAAAACAAAGATTAATATTTATTCATTAATATTAAATTCACTGCCTTAAACGTATCATTTGTTTTGTTTGCTTTATTAATTTTATATAAAGATACTAGAATTAAATTTCCTTCTATATTATGAGAAATACAATAAAGAAATGTTTCTGTATATATATCGTATGAGTTATTATCAACTCATTATTACCTGTTTCAATATATTATCATTAGTTTTTAATACTACTTGTTCATATTTATATCTTTTTGTATTGAAAATATTAAAAGTGGGTTTAAAAGCTATGTGTGAATAAAATAAGTTATTATAATATTTAATTGTTTTATTTTTTGGATATTGTCTTATGTAGGGAAAGATCAGGAAGATCAGGAAAATATTTGTATTGGATCACCAGGAAAGTTCGTTTCGATCTTTGAGGAATTTGGTCAACTTGAAAGATCATATTGAAAAGTTTTTCGCCGAAAAACCTGAGAGATTCTGGAAGGATGTAATATTCAAGTTGCGTGAAAGATGGGGAAAGGTGGTGGAACAAAATGACACCTATATAATTCAATAAATGTATATGGAATCGAAATGTAAATCGGAACGAACTTTCTGGGCGACCCAATACTTGTACACAGCGATTGTACTTAATGTTATTTTTTTGAATTTATGTAACAACGAGCTTGAATAACCTTGGGATACTAAATACTATAAGTTTATGTATCCATCTTGGAGTTGACTATACATCTGTCTAAAAAAATATACCTAAAGGAAAACAAAAAAGAAATAGTTTTACCTTCAAACCTTACAGGCACTTCTTACTCATAAAAAAATGTTTATCATGAAATGTCTCTAAAATGTCTCAAAAGTTTCTGTATAACAATAGTTTAATATAATCACAAGGAGAAAATATAACGAAGAGTACTGTATGTGATGTAAGATTCTCAAACGATGATACATACCAGCAGCTTACCTCGTACAAGTCATAGAGAAGAATAAATGTTCAATAAGATTAAACAATAAATATTGCTGCATTTTGTAAGAGGAATCATAGAAAATACACAAATTATGAGAAATGGTAGTTACATAATACAATATAATATTCATCTAACTTCGCACTTGTATGAAACAAAAAGGTTGAAAATAAGAAGAACGCGGAAAAAATTAAGCAGATATTAAAGGCTTAATCGATTAACTATAAACTAATTTACAACTAAATGATTCCTGAGAGGTTGCTTTAAAATAAGGATAGAATTTGATAAAGATCAAGGATATCCATAGAAACAAATCTATCCTTTAAATCTTTTGCTTTCTTTCTCCATATATCCTGCATTGTTAATTCATTACACTGATAAAATATCCAATGTGTAAGACAAACAATGGGAAATGGAAGAAAATTTGAAAGTTAAAGCAAAAGAAACACCATAAAATATAATGAAAAATGAATGAAAAATAAATGAAGAATAATTAACACATGCAACGAATAAATATAGTGTATATTATCTCAGAATTGATGATTGTTACTAACATAGTAAAAGGTGAAAGGTATTCATACATATGCATAAGTACCAATTTTAGTATTAATTTTGCACTTTTTTGTTCTCACCATTTTACGTATTTACTTTTCTTAAGTCTTTTGTATGATTGATGTTTACAAGTAATAAATCAATAATTTCTTATAAAAAAAGCAATATACACTTATGCTCTCATCAGTGGCAAAAAATTTTAACAAATAAAAAGTTACCATTTAGCTAAGGAAAATATAGAGGTTTTGTAAAAAAGACAAATATTTTACAGCTTTAGTCAATGAAAAATCATATATAGAAGACAAACATATCAGAATGTAGACATTGTTCTCTCTAATAACATGTGGATATCGTTAGACTATTAGAGAATAGTGCTTTGAGACTTATTACTGCAAAAAAAGTATATAAACTATAATCCATAAAATTAAACAAGTATGAGAAGAATTTCAGAATGTTGAAATTTAATTACATAATATATAATAAGGAGAAACATTTTGATTTATTTAATTCTTTATTAAAATTACTAAAAAACACTTTGATCTATTTTATAAGTTCAAAATGATACTTAAAGTGCATCATGATAATTGAAGAATCGGTCTGACGAAAGCTATCCTACGTCATCAGAAATAATAGAGTTTCTCAAAGAGTAATATGAAAGCGGAACGAAAGCGGTGAGATAATAAAAATAAGCTCAAATAATTTACTAACAAAATACGATTGAGACAATATAATACATGTTATATAACAAGGTAGAAAGGTCAGTAGAACACAGAATAAATAATGAGACAATCGTTTGTACGTTAATGGTTTTCGGAGCAAAAAATGATTAGGGACGGTTCTGTGATTAATCTAGTGCTTCGGAACAAAGCAGGCACAATTACATGAAGAAATAGAATTCATATCCAACATTCACACGAGCACAGGGTGATTGAAGCGGTTTGAAAATCATCATTCCATTCATCACGTATCCATAGTATGCATTCACAGCGAAAAGTGAGATACTGATAAAACGACAGTCAATTATTTCATGCTACATTTATTACTATACTTGAGCAGCACTTTCAACTTCATAATATCTACAATATGGATAAAACTGAATTGACGTAAAAGTATAATTATCGTTTTATAATTATTATTACATTAGTCTTTTATTAACAGTCGAATTAATAGACGGTAACAATTTAAAAATGTAATATATTATATATATCATACGAACGTAAAAATCATTTAATGTTTGCATGAAATAATATATGTAACATATATGTAATGTAAATATAGTAATAATATTGTAAATATATGTAACCCTTACAAGGTCACTATTTTATTTTTAGAATTTTAAAAAAGTGTTTCCTGTGTATGTCCTGTAATTTCAGATCGTATTTGTCATACGATTTAAAATGTATTAAGAACATTACATCATTAGCAGTAAAATGTAAATAAACATAGAATTTATTTTAGTAGGTAATTTTTATTAATAACAAAATAAAATTATGACTAGGTGGTAATAACTACATATGTAATTGTAAAAAATAAAACTGACGTTAACCCCGCGAACGTTATAGTGTGGTTCATCGCTGAAAGTGTAGAATGTACTTCACAGTGGCACGAATTTTCTTCCACTAGCGTATACGTATGTATGTCCATTATAATCAATACAGTATCTTGAGGGCTGAATTTACTATTGAACAGGAAAAAATAAGTTTAAAGAAGACAATTAGTGTGATAAGACATTGGAAGGTACCAACGCAGAATAATCTCATAGCACAACGTACTCCACATAAATTTTTATAAACCGGTTATGTTCGTCATTCTTTTTATGAATGCGAATTGAGTTCAGTTAACGCATGCGACATAATCGCTTAAATGGTTAATGTATTTTTAGAATGCTTGTTTTATAGAAAAAGGTTTGTTCATTACCATGTGCTTCTAAAACCACATAACTTTTACAAAATCCATTACTTCTCACATATTTTTTAAAAAGAAAGAAACGTTTTGACTATAACAATAAAATAAATAGTAAAGTAAATAAATAGTTTTATATAATCAATTATCATTCTTAATAATACATTATATCAATGAATATAATTTGGTAACGACAATGAAGAATACATACACATATTATATGTACATCTCTAGTTATATAGAAAAGAAAATAAATTATATTTTTTTATCTCAATAAAAATATATGAGATAATAAAAATTATGCAACATACAATAAATAATGATTGAGATATTTCGTAATTTTGTAAAATATTGAGCAAGAAGAGAATGTAGAATATATAAGGATTTTAGTGAGATTACCTAAAATACTGTGTCTAACGAAGCACTTGTAACATTGTCAAGATCGAAAAATAATAATGTTACAAATATAAAGTGAAAGTTATTTATGGAGAAATATTCAATTTTAAACTAACTACTCGAGTACTTTAATATAATTGTAAGTAGCATTTTTATTTGAAATTTTAACGACGTACCTTTAGAACAAAGATTTTTCAACAGCTGATTTGTCCATTGTAGATATTTGATTCTTTCGAGTGAAAAAGTGAAGAAATAATAAGTAAGTCGCGAGTGAGAAACTGAATTATATAAAGCTAACGTAACAAGAAACAATTAATTGTTTTTGTTAGCATTAAGCGTAACGTCCAAAGGTTCGTCGACATTTTGCGATGGACTGAGTTCTTGTTGGGGTAGCTGATGGAATAAAGTAGCGGTTGGTGTGTGCCTGGGTGGACCCTTCACGGTGAGATCCATCTCAGCCTCTTGAGGCCTATCTCTAGCGGTTAAATTGATGTCTCTTTCTACTGGACTGCCGCATATTCTTGGTGGAGAACCACAACCACATTTCATTCTTTCTGGAGACTTTTCACAGGTCAGAGAATATCTGAAATGTAATAGTTGTCCTTTCCATTAGAACGAAATTTTAGGGATAAAAGTGCAAAATACATATTATCACACATATATAAATAATATTAATATGTAAAAAGTCGTAAGCTAGTGCAGCTGGTTATAAAAATAAAGTGTCTTTCCTCATTTACATAAACAGGTATATTGCATAGGCATGTTACAGTTATAATGAACTCAATAATTCAATCAATTCAATATCTGAATGTATGGACATAGATACATCTAATCTCGTAAATTATGTGTACCTACTAGGAATTTTTATACTTATGCATATTTTTTATATTGTAGATACTAAGTACACACTTCATATCTACTAGCGTTAATTGCTACTATGTACTTATGTATGTATATAGTATTTAGAAGAATATCCCTTATTCTTATTTTCTTGTATTCTTCTTTATCTTGTACATATTTTTACGTAATTTCAATAAATGAAATGTTTCATTTTCTTATGGAACAAAATATCCGTTTCATCGAAGTTAATGAAAATTCTTCTCCAATTTATCATATGTCATAGAAACACTAAGTATATAATTAAAAAATTATGCGTCAATAAATATCGTTTGTTTCTTATTTGTCTCAACTTTACAAATTTAATTAGATTACATTATATTACAATAGATTTGATTATTAGAAAGAAGCGTCAACTTCCTCGTATCGATGAATTTTTAAATATCTAAGATAAAAATTTATATCGCGTGTTAAACTGGAAGCTTGATTAATCGAAATTTTATGTTTGCATTCTAAAGATTATTTTAAAAAACTCAGTACAAGATGACCGATCTTTTTTGTAACTTTTTCAGTATGTAGTAACATGAAATACTTTTATGTAACATTATTAATTACTGTATCTTTTACATAAAGTAGCTATTGTTAGAAAAGTTTAAATAATTCAAAAGCTGAAATAACGTACAATTAATGAATTAAGAACTTTCCTCTTAATCCTTTATTAATTTCGAATTTCGAATAGTACTATTTCTTTATATTATATAAGATCGATGGTTTTGCTACGACAGGCGCGTATGTGTGCGAATTTTTTCATTTGAATCGAAACATAAATGTCAAAAATACGCGAGGATACGGCATATTCACATACTCTGTCGAATATCAGGAAAATTAAATGTAGAAGTTAATCAATCAAAAGTCTAATTTAAAACACGCCTATGTATATTTAGATACTAGTTAAAAACGGCATAGCGCAGTTGTAAATTAAAGTTTTAAGAAAGCTATCCATTGATGTAACCGCATTCAGTAGTACATCCATTTCCTAGAAACGTTTAAATTTTGGGCTGCAAAAGTTATTTGTAAATTAATATTCTGATATGAGTTATGATCTTTCATTAAATCTAGAGATATGTGACGTATTAGGATTAGAACGTATAGCTACTTCCGAAAGGTAGGGAAGAACAGCTAGGAGAGAGAGAGTTTGGGTTTACGCCATGTAATAAATAATACGTTTCGATACTCAACATTTCAACACTGTCCATTGATTTTACGACTGCGTTATATCGTTTTGCGTAAATTCTTGTTCTACTATTTGCACGTTTGAATTAGTAAAAACAGAATGCGATTAAGGAAAGTAATTTTATTACCCGTGAGGAGGTGGAAGAATCCTGTAATCTCTGCAAACGGATAAAGTCGAAGCGTCAGGTATTTTGTCGGCGTTGCTCGCCGTTATAGTTATAGGTGGTCCGTTGGTAGAAGCAGAGGCTGAAGGCGGCGGAGGCGG